ACAGAGGCTTTTTTTGGTTGTTTTTTTTTTTAAATTTTTTTTTAGTTGTAGATGGGCCTTTATTTTATTTATTTATTTTTCTGTGATGCTGGGGATCGAACCCAGTGCCTCACATGTGCTAGGCAAATGCTTTACCACTGAGCTACAGCCCCAGCCCCATCAATAGAGGCTAATACACAAGTGGCATGAATTCACTTGTTAGTTTTGGCTTTCTTCCTATGAAGCTGTTAGAGAAAATAAACTTGATTCCAACAGATTCTATGCTAACATTGATGTGGCACTTATTTCCTTGACACACCTCTTTTTTTTTTCTTTTGTAATACTGTGAATTAAACCCAGGGGCACTCCACCACTGAGCTTACATCCCTGGCCCTTTCTTTTTGTCATACTGGGAACTGAACCCAGGGTATTGTGCACGCTAGGCAAATGCGTTAAAACTGAGCTACATCCCCAGCCCTTCTTCGTATTTTTTATTGTGAGACAGAGTCTTGGTTAAATTGCTGATGCTGGCCTCTAACTTGCGATTCTCCTGCCTCAGACTCCTGAGTTGCTAGGATTATAGGTATGCACCAGTGTCTAGCTCAGCTTTTTTATTTTATTTTACTTTTTTTAGTTCTTGAAGGGATTTAATTTACTTATATGTGGTGCTGAGAATCGAACCCTGTGCCTCACACATACTAGGCAAGCACTCTACCGCTGAGCCACAACCCCAGCCACTAAACTTTTTTTCTTAAGGGTCTTAAGTTTCTTGTTTTGCCTTCTTCACTTCAATTACTAAAATAATCCATATTTTCTTTGTTCATAATCTTGTCTCAATAAAAATTAAATCCTAAATGACTTTTTTTTTGGGGGGGGCGGGGAGTACTGAACCCAGGAGCACTTTACCACAGAACTACATTCTAAGCCCTTTTTTATTTTGAAATAGGGTCTTGTTAAGTTGCTTAGAGCTTTGCCAAATTGCTGAGGCTGGCCTCAAATTTTTGATCCTCCTGCTTTAACCTCCCATGTTGCTAGGTGTGGACAACACCACACCTAGCATGACTAGCTATTTTGATTACAAAAAGTCTTATTGCAGAGATTAATATTCCCATGCCTTAGAAATGTAGTAAATTTTGTTCTTTTCCCTATTAAAAAAAAAAAGTATACCCTTTCCCTGACATGGATGCTGCCTATAGCATTTATTTCTGTAATTTCACATTTGGTTGTAAAGCTTGTTTCAATGACTGCCCTATCCCTGCATCAATACCACACTTATAAATATATTTATAAATGCAAATGTTATAGTTTTATATATTCTAAAATATGGTTATCAACGCTCCAATCATAATTGTTTTAAAAATTTATTATTCTTGTGAATTTACTTTTCCAAATCTTTCAATTCAGCTGGGTAAGTTCTTTTAAAAAACCATAGTAAGCTGAGTGTGGTACACACACCTGTAATCCCAGTGACTTGGGAGGCTGAGACAGGAGGATTGCAAGCTTGAGGCCAACCTCAGCAATTTAGCAAGGCCCTAATTCAATAAGACCCTGTGTCAAAATTAAAAAGGGCTGAGGATGTAGCTCAGTGGTAAAGTGCCCCTGGGTTCAATCCCCAGCACCCCCACCCCACCCAAAAAAGCCCTACTGAGAATTTTAGTAGAAAAATATAGGAGGCACAGTCATCTGTACAATATTCAGTATTCCCAATCCAATACTGTTTACTTTATCAGTCATATCCTCCTCTTTTTTTTTATACTTTTTTTTTTTTAAAGAGAGAGTGAGAGAGGAGAGAGAGAGGAGAGAGAGAGAATTTTCAACATTTATTTTTTAGTTCTCGGCGGACACAACATCTTTGTTGGTATGTGGTGCTGAGGATCGAACCCGGGCCGCAC